AAACTTATGAGACACGTGTGGTGGGTGGCACACACCTTTAATCTCAGCACTCAGAAAGCAGAGGCAGGTGAATGTCTCTGAGATCAAGGCCAGCCGGTCTACAGAGCGAGTTCCACACCAGCTGTGCCTATAGAGAGACCCTGTCTCAATCCCTCCAGAAGTTACTTATGAAATCAAAGTGGAAATATTAAACATAAGAATAAAAATGTTATATATGTAAAAAATATATATTAAAGACTTGCCACCCCCACCGAGACGGCCTGGTCCCCTTGCCTCAGGAAGATATCTAACCCCAGGCTCCTCCTTGGGGATCCAGAACCATACCAGAATGACACCCAGGCTCCAAAGGTCGCAGGACTCGTCGTAACCCTGCTGCGCCAGCAGCTCGGGGGCGGCGTACTGCAGCGTGAAGCAGGGCGTCTGCATGGGCCCCGCCGGGCTCTGCGGCCGCAGCCTCGCGAACCCAAAGTCGATGATCTTCACCGGGGCCCCGGGCGAGTCGTCGGCATAGAGGATGTTCTATACAAGGGTCACCAGTGGCACTCAGAGGCAGGGCCTCCGAGCATGCGCCAGCCAGCCCTGCCCTGTCCCGGCACCCAGGCTGGGTGTGCGCACCTCCGGCTTGAGGTCTCGGTGCACCACTCCGGCCTCCTCGTGCATGAAGCTCACGGCAGACACCAGGCTGCGCAGGATCTGGCTGGCCTCGGACTCACTAAAGTGCCGCTTCTTTCGGATGTGCTCCAACAGCTCCCCGCCCCGCAGCAGCTCCAGGACCAGGTAGGTGTGCAGCTGCCGAAGGCGGAGGGTCATGGCCACCGCGCGCCGGTGCCCGGATCTAGGGTGGCCCCATGTTCCAACCCCAAGCTCAAGTCCCCCCCCAGAACCACGCCTCAGATCCTGCTTTCCAGAACTCCTTAGCCCTAACCCCCACCTCTCACCCCTACCCGCTCCTCAGATTCCGTTCTCCCATCATCCTCAGCAGGACCCCGCAGTCTTCAGGCCCTACACCCCTCCGAGCTCTCCCACTTCCTTTCAGTCCCCCACATCCCCGAGGCCACGCCCATGATGCCCTCAGGCCCCGCCCCTGACCCTCTTCCCTGACTCCTAAAGCTGGGGTCTGTCACCTGGTCGTGATGCACCTCATGCAGATTCACCACGTTGGGGTGTGACTGGCACAGCCGCAGGGCGGCCACCTCGCGCTGCGTGTTCTCTTCCAGCCTGGGGATGGGACAGGTGGGGTTTACAGTGGCCGACCCTGGCCCCACCACTCGGGCCATCTGCGGGCCCCACCCACTCCCTCGCTGCTCCCACCTGCGGCTAAGGATCTTGACTGCAAACTCTTGGCCACTCTGGCGCTGGCGACATCGACGACACACGGAGAAGCTGCCCTGACCCAGTGCCGGCTCCCGCAAATCCAGCTCATATTGCTGAAAGAAGGGCGAGTCCTGGGGGCGAAGGGGTGCGTCAGAGTCTCACCCACACAACACCTCATGTCCAACTGGCTGGGGACTTCACCCAAGTCACACACCACCACTGGAGCCTGGTGGAGCCTGGCCAGAGCCGCCCCAGCCCAGACGATCCCCACCCCAACAAAGGCAATACCCCCCTACTAGGCCAGTCAGACACCTGCATCATGGCGCTCCTGGCAACCGCTGCTCTGCCAGGCCTGAGCCCAGCACCAGGTGCCTCTAGCACATCGGTCATCACTGCATTGTTGTGGTCAAAGAGGATGGATGGTGCCACGAAGGAGTAGCCCTGCAAGGGAGGAGAGTCAGGGACCAACACCCATGGGGGCTGCTATGCATGTTAGTCAAGTGGGCTGGGTGCATGAAAAGGAAAACCCCCACAAAGGGGCAGTTAGGGGTATTCCTGTTACATCCTGGCACATAGAGCCTGTGTGAACACATTTTATTCTGCCTAGGTTTTTTTTTTTTTTTTTAATTGAGACAGGGCCTCCCTTAACCCCAGCTGGCCTGAACTCACTATGTAGACCAGGCTGGCCTCAAACTCACAGAGATCCACCTGCCTCTGCCTCCCAAGTTCTGGGACTAAAGGCATGCACCACCACACCCAGTTTTTATTATTTTTATTTTATGTGTATGAGTAGATTCCTTGCAAGTATGTAAGTGCACTTGTGTCATGCAGTGGCCAGGAAGGTCAGAAGAGAACCTCAGATCCTCTGGAACTGGAGTTACAAATGGTTGTTAGCCACCATGTGGGCACTGGGAACAGAACCCAGGTCCTTGCAAGAGCAGCCAGTACTCTTAACTGCTGAGCCATCTCTCCAGTCCCTATTCAGCCTTGTTTAACAATCACTTGATGACCCCTATGTTTCTCACCCTCAAAGTGACTAGCATAATCAATGCAAGAAAGGGGTGTGCCTGATGCCATACACACTTAATCTATGAGAATTCAACTGCTATCTGCTAAGGGGAAAAGAAAAAAAAAAAAACAACCAACTTTCTTCCCTTTCAAAAGCCTCTTCCAAGATGCGGAGGACAGGCAAAGAGATACGAAGTCCATTCAGTGCCTTTCCCGTAGACTCGGGTTCTGGCTACTTCAGAGGTTGGTTTGGGGGAGTTATTTCTGTTTTTGTTGTGTGTGAGTGTTGTGTTTTGTTTTGTTCTAAGATGGGGTCCTGTTATGTATCCCTGGCTAACCTGATACCCACTATGTAGCTCAGGCTGCCTAAACTCATGGCAATCCTCCTGCTTCAGTCTCCCAAGTACAGGGATGACAGGTGTCGCCATTGCAGAGGTTTTCGGGGATAATTTTAACTGTATTGGTTTCTCTGGGGGGAAAAAAAAAAAAAAAACCTGCCTAGAAGGCAGACCCCACTTGGGTGGTGTTTTCACCTGTTAGGCTCACTGGCACAGCCCCAATGCCTGGATCACATTGTAGGTACTCAACACAGAGTAGCCCAAGCTGGCCTTGAACTCACCATCCTACTGCCTCAGTCTTCTGAGTGCTGGGATGACAGGTATACCATTATAACTGGTATCCATCTATTGGTCTATTATTTTTTAAATAGTTTGAACTATGTTCTACAGGCTGGACGTCAGCCCTGGACCTTGGGGAACACAAGAATTAAAAATGTATTCCCAATCCTAGGGAACTTTCAGACCAGCCTTGACAAACTGCTCAGCAGTAGGTGCTGTGGGTCAAGGGCTGTGGTGTGCAGTTAAAGGATGGCTCCCTGAGCCAGGTGAGTGACAAGGAGTTTGACCAATGGGGAGCTGGCCAGGTGACTACTATGGGGAGGACAAAATACAGAGGTGTACCTGGGAGCCTTGTCCAGTGCAACTGTACCCTCTAGAGCATCAGGCAGGAGGATGGTAAGCACTGAGGTGAGGAGCTGGCACAAGGCCTTATCACATGTTGGCTTGAATGCCAACCTAAGACGGGACTTGTCCATCAGCCCTGAGCTTCTAAGTGAGAGTGTGATACACCAGGGGCTGCAGTACAATCATGGCATCTCTCCTTAAGCCACTTAGTAATTTGGAAAATTATTAATAAACGAATTAATATTCTTTAGATAGCTTCAGGTATCCCCAGGCTGACCCCAAAGTCCATATATAGCAGAGGATGACCTCGAACTCCCAATCCTCCAGCCTCCACTTCCTGAGGTGTGTGCCAGCACAGTCTGTTTTTGCAGTGTTAGGGATCAAACCCCAGCTTTATGCATGCTAAGCTTTATACCAACTGAGCTACATCCTCAGCCCTTAAATTTTTTTTTCTTTTTTTCTTTTTCGGTCTTTTTGAGACAGGGTCTCCCTGTACCCAACTGGCCTGGAACTTGCTGTGTAGACCAGGCTAGGCTCAAACTCACAGAGATCTGCCTGCCTCTGCCTCCCGAGTGCTGGGATTAAAGGTGTGCGCCACCACACCCAGCCTGCCCTTGATAATTTAAAGCAATATTTTTATACAACCAGGAGATAGTGAAATGGAAAGGAAATTAAGAGCCAGGCCTGGTGACACAAACCTGTAATTTCAGCTATTTGGGAGGCTGAGACAGGAGCCAAGGCCAGCCTGGGCAACTTATCAACACCCTGTCTCGAAATAAAAATCAAGGGGGCTAGAGAGATGGCTCAGTGGTTAAGAGCACTGGCTGCTCTTGCAGAAGACCTGCGTTCAGTTCCCAGCACCCACATGGTAGCTAACAACTGTCTGTAACACTAAAAATAAAATGAAAATTGAAAAAGAACTTGCAGTATGGCTCAGTGGTAAAATTCTTAATCCCCAGTATCAAAACGGATGGGGAAAATATTAACATTAAATGTAAAGATAATCTGAAAGTCATCCAAAGCATGCCCTGCTTGTGCTGGTCTCTGTAACTGACAGCCCCAGGCATCCCAGGTAAGTGGAGAGGTCTGACAAGATGAGATGTGCCCTGAGCTCGGGACCCTGGGCTATAGTGTCTGGGCCAGCAGGGCTGAGGCAGGCAGTAGTGTCTGACTTCTCCTGCATCTGGTGCCCCACGGGTTCTCCACTCACCTGAAAGATTCGAGGGTCCCCAGGCGGAGGACTCCCAGCAGGGGAATAAACAGGTTCCAGCCGAGTGAATTCCTCTGCAAAGTTACCCACATCCAGCTCTGAGCGAATCTGGGGCCGGAATGGAGCAGGGATCTTCCTGGCAGCCAAGGCAGCCCAATCCAGACCCTGAGGAGGAGGAGTCAGAGGTGAGAGGACAGGCTGATTGCTGTGTGTCATATAGAAGAACCTAGCCTTAAGTCTAGCTTTGAATGACTCCATTTTATAAAATCACAGCTCTGGCCTGAGACCAAGTGCCAAGAAAGAATGACTTTACATCTTGTTTATACAACTAAGCAACCACCATCAGCAAGTGTCACAGGAGACACAGCTGATAAATATTTTTATCTAATAAACAAGGGCACTTGAAAATATAGCAAATCATGAACCATGCTCCAGGGATAGAAGGCTTCCCTAACCATGCACACAGCCCTGGGTTTCATCCCTAGCACCCAATAAACAGGCATGGCGATGCATGTCTCTAATCTCGGGACTCAGGAAGTACAGGCAAAAGGATTAAAAGTACAAAGTCATCTTCACCTAAGGACTTTGAGACCTTTGTGAGATATCAGAAATACCAGACACATGAGCACATCACACCAGAGGGGACCCCCTCACTTGGGACTGTGAGAAGGAGAACCCCAGCATCAAAATGTGTCAGGCATGCTAACTAGTCACCAAGTCACAGGCCACAAGCTTCATCCATAATAACTGCCACAACCCAGGATTCAGCTCCAGCATAGTTTCTCCTGCGGTGATACTCAGCCCATTTCAAACTGACCCTGGAAACAGCCTGGCATGCATCTGACATCTCTTCACCTGCCTCAGCCCTGAACAGCCTCAGAAAGCTCCTGCCTCTTTAACCCTTTTTTTTTTTTCTTTCTTTTTTTGGTCTTTTTGAGACAGGGTCTCCCTGTAGCCCCAGCTGTCCTGGAACTCACTATGTAGACCAGGCTGGCGCTGAAAGCTCCTGCCTCTTTAACCCTTTTTTTTTTTTTTTTTTTTTTTGGTCTTTTTGAGACAGGGTCTCCCTGTAGCCCCAGCTGTCCTGGAACTCACTATGTAGACCAGGCTGGCCTTGAATTCACAAAGATCCCCTGCCTCTGCCACCACACCCAACTTCTTTACCCCTTTTTTAGCCATTCTGTAACCTGCAGATTTTTATATTATTGTGTAACATGTGGACACATGATCAGAGAGTTGATATTCATAATAAGATCAGAATAAAAGAGACCAGGAGTGATGGTGCACTTTTTTTCCACCATAAGCTTTATGTTTGACAGAATTTCTTTTTTGTTTTTCAAGATAAGAAAAAAACATTTTTTCCTTGGAAGCATTTCATTACAGCTTTAACATATTCAGTAACAATTTTTAGGTACACTTTTAATCCCAGCTCTCAGAAAGCAGAGGCAGGTGGGTCTCTGTGAATTCCAGGCCAGCTGGGGCTACAGGGAGACCCTGTCTCAATTTTTTAAAGAAAATTGGAATAAAAGGACCAGCCAGATGGCCCCATGGATAAAGGCATTTGCCACCAAGCCTGACAACCTGAGTTCAATCCCTAGGACCCACATGGTGGAAGGAGAGAACCAAGTACTGCAGGTTGTCCTCCGACCTCCACATACACACTGTGGTACACAGCTTTACACACACACACACACACACAGACATAAAAGAACCTGTGATTGCCAACAGTCAGTTACCAAGTGAAATTGGATGACCTAGCAGATGTCAGCCAATGAAACTGACAGAGCTTGTGAATTTATTGTGTAACAATAAATTGTGGAAAGATAAATGAGACTATGTTTCTAGCATAACACATAATGAAGGGTCAAAGGGCAGGTTGTGAAGACCCCGCTCTCTTCAAGCCACCCTCACTGGCCAGCTCCCCCAAACCACAGGATCTGACATTGGGGAGTCTAGATGACATCAAAAACAAAGTGAGGGCTGGAGAGATGGCTCAGTGGTTAAGAGCACTGACTGCTCTTGCAGAGAACTCAAGTTCAGTTCCCAGAACCCACATGGTGGCTAACAACCATTGTGACTCCATTTCCGGGAGTCAAGCACACATGTGGTAAAACATGCATATACCTAAAATAAAAATAAATAAATCTTTAGGAAAAAAAGAAAAAAACATTAAAAAAAAATCTCAGGAAAGCATAGTGGCCACATGCCCATCATCCCAGCACTCAAGAGATTGGGGCAGAAAGATTCTGAGTTCCAAGCCAGCCTGGGCTATACAGGGGAGACCTTGTCCCCAAAGAAAAAAACAAAAGAAACCTTTTGGTTTGTTTGTTTTTGCTTTTTGTCTTTTTGAGACAGGGTCTCCATGTAGCCCCAGCTGGCCTGGAACTCACTGTGTAAACCAGGTTGGCCTTGAACTCACAAAGATCTAACTGCCTCTGCCTCCCAAGTGCTGGGATCAAAGGTGTGTGCCACCATACCTGGATGTTTTTGTTCTTTTGAGACAGGGTCTCACTAAAGTAGGCCTGGCTGACCTATAACTCACTATATAGACCAGGCTGGACTTGAACTCACCTGCTTCTGCCTCTAAAGTGCTGGGATTAAAGGTATGTGCTACCACACCCAGCCAATAAAAAAATTTTTTTAATTAAAAAGAAAACCTCTTTCTCCTAGTGGACACAAATCTGGAAGGATGTGGGTCTGGAATTGCAGGGGACTCTCTTAAGATCTAAAATGAAATCCTCATGGGGGAGGAGGAGGGGAGGACAGCAGAACCAAGAGATAGAGTCTCAGTACCTGGATGCAGCCTTACCTAAAGTCAGACACTTGTCCTAAGAAAAATGTTTTAAAAACAAAGCACGAAAACAACAAAACTAGAATTCTTCGGACTTTTTCCCTTCTGGAAGTGAAAACCTCCCCTTTTCTATATGTTTAAGCTATATAACAGAACCCACTCATTTTCTGCCCAGTGTCCATCTTCCCTAACTTAGCACCAAAGTCTCAATTTTATTCTAGGAACCGTTAAACACAACCAACAGACACTGTTTTAAAAACACCTCCTCACAGTGGGCTATGACCAATAATTCACAAGCAAATCCTGTTAGGTGGTGTTGGGGAAAAGATCTCAAGAGGGAGGTAAATAGTTGAACACCCTCTTTGCCTTCCTCCCTCTGCTTCTGGCCTGGAACTGGTCTAGACAGCAAGGCCTTCTACAGCCGCTTGGGGCCATGATGCAACCCTGGGGATGGAAGAACCAGGAAAGAACTAGGGTTCCCAAAGACACTGTAAAGTTACACTGAAACCCTGATGTCACCCCTGGACTTCTTTCGGGCAAGAATCAATATCTCTCTCTCTCTCTCTCTCTCTCTCTCTCTCTCTCTCTCTCTCTCCTCTCTCTCTCTCTTCTCTCTCTCTCTCTCTCATTACATCTACTTATTCACTGTCAGGGATGGGTCTGTGGAGGTGTGTGGAGGTCAGAGGACAACTTGCAGGAGTCAGCTCTCTCCTTCCACCATGTAGGTCCCAGGGATTGAACTCAAGATTGTCAGATTTGGTCACAAGTGCCTTCACCCACTAAGCCATCTCATCTACTCCCTCTCTCTCTCTCTTAATGTATATGTGCTGTGTGGCCATGTATTTATGTGTGTTTTCATGTGTTTAGGGACAGATATGTATATTTGGATACACTTGGATACACTTGTGTGTGTGTGTGCCTGCATGGAGAGGACATTGGATATGAGGCAGGATTTCTCATCAGACCCAGAGCCCTCCTCCTGCTGTGATTCTAGGTGGGCCACCTCCCCACCCAGCTTTTATAACTTTCGTCTTTTTGGTTGTGACCTGAACCTTTAATAGCTGAGCCATCTCTCCAGTTCTAAATAATAGATAATATTGGTATTTTATTGTTCGTTTTTGGTTTTTGAGACAGGGTCTCCCTGTAGACCCATCTGGCCTATGAACTCCCTATGTAGACCAAGCTGGCCCTGAACTCAGAGATCTGCCCACCTCTGCCTCCCAAGTGCTAGGATTAAAGGTGTGGTCTACCATGCCTGGGTGTTTATTTTGTTTTTAAGACAGGGTCTCACTATGTAGCCCAAGCTGGCCTTCAACTCACCATCCTCCTGCCTCAGCCTCCCAGTGTTGAGATTACCAGTGCCATCACACCTGGCTTGGGTACCACCATTGTGAGTTGGATTTCATGTCCCAACTTGTAGCCAAGAGGCCTGACTTGAGATTGAAGGCCCATGCCCCTTGCCACCAGGGACACTGCGATCACCAGAGAGGCTGTCCAAAGAGAGGGAGGGGACACCCCTTCCAAGTGTCAGGCCTCAAGGACTGAGGTCTCTTCAGGATGACAGGCGAGTCCTCTCCCAGCACCCAGTGCAGCACCCAGCCTGAGGTTGGGGGAATTCCATGAAGGACTGTGCTCAGCTGCCTCCACACCTCTGTCCAGGGACATGTTGGCCTGGGATTCCCACACCTTTGCACAGGGCCATTGCCTTGGAGATGGATACTCCAGTCTGAAAGCAACCAGGAGGCCCTTCCAGACTGGGATTCCCCAACTGGGAGGCAGAGTACCTGGCCGCAGGAAGTACCCACAAATGGATGCTCTTGTTGCCCTATCAGATAAATGCCAAATCTGATGCCCACATGGAAACAGAGGGTGGCAGCAGCTAGGGACACCCGTGCTGCAAGGTCTAATGCCAGACCCTGTGTTCTCAGGAAGCTGCCCAGTGAGTGTGGCCTGAGGAGAGTGGTGTCTGTACATCCTGCTCTTTGATCCCTTATTGTAGGTTACATCAGAAATGCAGAACACAGGTCACAAGCCGAAGCCTCACCTGGAAGAAAAGGTGGCTCTTGACTTCCTGCGCACCCTGGGGACCCGCGCCCAATCTCTTCTTAGGGTCCTTACACAACAGTCGCTGCAGCAGGTCCTGTGCCACAGGCCCAATCCGGAGGGGGAAGGGAGGGGAGCACTTCAGGATCCGTCTGGGAGGATGGGTGGGGCGTCAGGGGCAGTGAGCCCCCTCCCAGTTCAACCCAGGCCGCCCACCATGTCTTGCCGGACTCACCTGGACACCTCAGCCTGTGTATTCCTCTCACCCTCCAGTGTGAAGGGCGAGGCCCCCGTCAGCAGCTCGAAAAGCAGGATACCCAGGCTCCACCAGTCCACGGCCTGCGGGTGGGGCCAGAGTGAGGGCCTGGGGCTCCCAGCCTCACCCCTGCCACCCTCACCTGCCACCCAAAAACCCACCTTGCCATGCCCAGTCTTGCTGCGGATGATTTCAGGGGCCATGTACTCGATGGTCCCACAGAAGGAAAAGGTCCGCTCTTTCTGGGAGGACGAAAGGCCCCATTTGGATACCTTAGCCTCTTCCAGTGCACCAGAAGAGGCCCCCAAGGCTCAGAGCAGGCCTCACTCAACTTAGACGACACAGTGGGATGCTTTGTGACCGTTCACTCTGCACTCCAGAGTGAAAAGGGCCAGGCTGGGAGCACTATGGGCAGACCCTGCCATCCACTCACCTCTTCTGTCAGAAACTCCTTGCTCAGCCCAAAGTCTGTGAGGACGATGTGACCCTCTGAGTCCAGTAGGACGTTCTCCAGCTTCAGGTCACGGTAGATGATGCCCAGCTAGCAGGAGCAAGGAAGCTATTGGGCGCTGCCCTGACACCTTCCCAGCTCCCCCAGCCATGACCCCGCTCCAGGTCCCCACTGGGGATAAGGAGAGCTGTGGAGATCTTTAGCCTCAGGGTGATCTCTCAGGCAGGACAGGGCCCAGGCAGAGTTGGCTATTAGATAAGAAAAGCCACTGAACCCTGGCATGTTGGCTCATGTCTGTCATCCTAGTACCCCAGGAGGCTATGGCAGGAAGCCAACATGGGCTACACAGTGAGTTCCAGGAGAGTTTCAGCTACAGAGTGAGACCCTGTCTATAAAAAAGAGGAGGGAAAAGGGCTGGTGCTGGGGATGTAACTCAGTCCATAGAGTGCTTGCCTAGTATGTGGCCCTGCGTTGGATCCCCAGCACCACATAAATTGGACATGGTGGCCCATGCTTATAATCCCAGTATTGAAGAGGTGGAGGCAGGAGGATCAGAAGTTCAAGATCATCCCTGACTACATGGAGAGTTAGAGGCTAGCCTGGGAGAGAGAAAGAAATCCCAGCACTCAGGAGGCAGAGGCAGGTGGATCTCTGTGAGTTCGAGGCCAGCCTGGTCTCCATTAGCAAATCCAGGCCAGCTGCAGCTACAGGGAAACCTTGCCTCAAAAAGACCAAAAAAAAAATTTACCTCTGTTTGCAAAGATGGGGACAAGAGAGCGAAAGAGAGGAAGAGAGAGAGAGAGAGAGAGAGAGAGAGAGAGAGAGAGAGCAAGAAGTCTCAGCAGATAAAGTCCTTATGGTAAAAGCCGGACAACCTGAGTTCAAGCCGCAGAACCCATGAAAACATAGAAAAGAACCAATACCACAAAATTGTTCTCTGGCCTTCACCTACACACTGTATGTGAAAGCCCACATATACATTACACACACACGATAAATATAAATTTTTTTAACTGGGGCTGAAGGGATGGCCCAGGGGTTAAGAGCACTGGCTGCTCTTGCAGAGGACCTGGCACTGGGTTCCCAGCACCCACATGAGGGTTAACAACCATCCCCATAACTGTAGTTCCAGTTCCTCTTTGACATCCCCAGGCATTGCACGCACAGGTACCACTGACATACATGTAGGAAAAACACCCATACACATAAAATAAATAAACCAACATAATTTTTTTTAATTTTTAAGAGAAAGAAAGGGCACTTAAAGAAGGCACCATGGCACAGGCCCCAAGCTCCCAGAGTAGAGTCGATAAAGAGCCCCATTTCACAGAGGCTGTGGGGGCAGAGGCTTGAGGTCTCCATTTGAGGAAGTCCGGTGAAAGAAGCCCAGAGTTTCTGTGTGAGGAAAGCCCCTCCCAGGAGACACTGGGGCCCGAGACCCCGCCAGGTAGTGCTGAGGCTTCCTGCCACGAAGTCAAGGTCAGTAACTCTGTCGAGGTCCCCAGCAGGCCACCCCATTGCCACAGGAAGACCCTCATCAGGCCCAGAGCAGCCCCAGAACAGCAGCCAAGAGCCAGGTGGGTCCGCACAGTACCTTGTGTAGGTGTTCCAGGGCCAGCACGATCTCACCCCCATACACCCGAACCTCAGCCTCCTTGAAGTACTGGCGCTGGTAGAGGTGGGTGAACATCTCGCCTCCGCTCACATAGTCTGGGGGTGCAGGAGAGGTTGAGATGTGTCCCCAAAAGGTAGCCTCACCTGCCTCTGGTCCCCCTTTCGAGTCAGGATGTAGCATGCCTCACCTAGGATGAGATGCAGCTTGGCATCCGTCTGGAAAGCATAGTGCAGGGTGACGAGGAAGGGCGCCTGGCGCACTAGCTCCAGCACCGAGCGCTCGGTGCGCGTGTGCTCCTGCGTCTTGGCGCGCTGCACTAATGCCGCCTTGCGTAGCACCTTCATAGCATACAGCTTCCCCGCATCGTGGCCTCCCGCCTTCCGCACCAGGAACACCTTCCCGTAGGCTGTGGGAGCAGCGAGCAAGCGAACAGAGGAGGGTGGGCTGTGGGTGCGAGGGCGGTGCAGACTGATGGGAAGGGAGTGAGAGGCAGGGGTGCAAAATGCTGGCAGAGCCTTCCAAGGGAAAGGTGTGCACCTCCCCGCAGGGGGCTCAACTAAGCCTGGGAAGCAAATGTGCAAACTAGCGGAGAGAGCGTGCAACTCCAGGAGGCCTGCGGGGCGGGGGAGGGGGCGGGGCCTTGCAAACCTGGGAAGACCAGCCAGAGAGCTGAGAAAGGATGAAAATGCAGGCACGGTAGGCCGAGGCGCGCTGCCAGCCAGAGGAGGGATGTGCAAACCAGGGCTGGGCAATTTGCAAAATACAGGAGGGGGACTCATATGTGGAAAAGGGGAGGAGTCATGCAAAGCACTTGGAAAGGGGGGTCAAGTCCCCAGGAGGTTCGCAAATCGCGGCAGGGGGCACGCTCGCCCAGGACTTCGCAGAGAGGAGCGATGTCAACGTGGACCTCTTGGAAGTGGGCATGTCTGGCACGGTAGGGCGGGGCGGGCAAGGTGAGCTGTGCCGGGAAAGGGTGGGGGGCCCTCCCTAGGTACCAGGCCCAGGCCCAGGCGGGTGAGCGGGCAGCAGACGCAAAGCACCACACCAGGGGCACCTGTGAACAGGGTTCCTCACCTCCCGTGCCCAGCACCTTGAGCAGCTCGAAGTTCTCCACGCTCACCTTCTCCTCGTGCCCGGTCAGGTTGGCTGCGGGCACAGGGGGGCGAATGAGCCCAGCGGGTGTCTGAGTCCTGCCACCCGCCACGCGCAGCCACCTCCAGACCCCGCACCCACCTTCGGTGATTTGCAGCTCCACCGAGCAGCCCTCATCCTCATCCTCGTCTCCCATGGCGTGCGGGTCGCTGGGGGCCCGCGCGGCTCGGGCTCCGGGCGGCGCCGGTTACATGGCGGCTCCGGCCGGGGCGGGTGCTTCCTGGTGCCGCCTCTGGGGCCGAGCGGGCGCCGGCGCCGCCTCCCCGCTCCCCGCCCCGAGCGGCCTGAGTCAGGCGGCTGGAACGTGACAGCGCAGGGCTGCGAGTGGGCAGCCTGCGGGGAGTGGGTGGCCCGGTCTCCCCAGCCCGGAGCCCGCGCCGCGGCTGTGCTCAAAGACCCCCACGCCACACACCCACAACCCCGGAAAGATGTAAAACCGGGTGGGAGCCATGTAGAGAGGGGTGGGGGACTGTGGATTACACCGCTATTGGGGTACGCCTCCAACCCAGGTGTCTGCCCAGCGGGCCGTCATGAGGGCACCAGGGGCCTGTGCCCTGAGGTTGGAGGAGGGGTACCCACCCAAGCGCACAGAACCCTCTCCACGTGGCAGACAAGCTATTTCTGCTCCTTTTAGCCACTTCACACAAATCACAGACCACCGCCTTTCAGATCAGTCCTTGACCTCAGCAAATAGGGGGCCTTTATGTTCCCTGGTAACAGGAACCCTGGGCTCTTGACGCTGGGTTGGCATTGGGGGCATGAACAATAGACCTCAAATAAAGGAGCCTACGGCAGGTGACATGACTCAGTGAATAAAGTTGCTTGTCTGACCATCTGAGTTCCACCTGAGTTTGATCCCCGGGTCTCACACATATGCACACACAATAAAATAAATGTAATTTTTTTTAAAGGGGAAACCTTTAAGACTGATTGCACATGGACCCTACTCCACCTTTCCCAGGGAACCCCACCCTCCCCTGGGCAGCACCAGGTGCTCTGACTCACATCCTGCCAGCCTAGCCTAATTGTCCCCCTTCCCAGTCGTCATCCTAGGGACAAGGTCAAAGACCCAGCCCTGACCTAGCTGTGAGTTCCCTGAGGCAGGGCTCAACCCCAAAGGGGCCGGGTGAAAGATGAGGAGGCTGGAGAATGAAGAAGGGGGTACCCTGGGAGAGGGTCAGATCAGAGCCCCATGTCCCAAAGTCCAGGCCCCATCCACTGTTGGCTGCCCACCCAGCAGGCACATCCAGGTTTGATCAAGACCAACTGACTACAACCCAGTTCCTTCTGCTGCCAGGTCCACACAGGGCCCTCTAGCCACAGAAGCCGACCAGTAGGAATTCCCAGCACCTCCAGGCTCCATAGGCAGTCAGCAAATAAGAGTCCAGATTCAAAGGGTTTCAACTTTATTCTCCATCCCCTCATGTCCCAGATAAGGCTCAGACATCAGCCCAGACCCGAACCCAGAGAATGTGCCTTGGCTTCCCATCTGGACCAGGCAGAGGGCTCTCTTGCCCACTCTTGCCAACCTCCTTCAGCTGGAGGGTCCCCCAGAGATCGCCTCCTCAGAGATGGCCATATGGGAGAGTAAGAGGCCTGGCCAAGAACTACCTGTTGAGGCCAGCCATCCCTCCTGTCGAGAGTTTTCCCAGTTCCTTCTCAGGGCCCCAGTGCAGGCTGTGGGGAATCTGGGGACCAAGGTCTCTTTGTTGAAGGACTCTCCTTGGGGCCCCTGGGTTTCCCAGCTTTTGGACTGCCTGGGAGACCCACTGACCCTCCAGCGGTGAGAAGGCTGCATTCCCATTCTTCCTGTCCCCACAGTGTCACTGGCTGAGGGAAGAGGTAAGGGGGCGCTTCTCCGGTTCCTGCTCCTGGAGGCCTAGAGAGAAAGGTTGGGCTCAGGCCCAACTCCCTAGGAAGATGCCCAGCATTCAAGGTGGCCCAGAGGGCTCTATACCTTCTGCCCACTCTCCACCCCTCCAACCTTCTTTATACCAACTATACCAGCCTGTTCTTGACTGCACTAGGTCTCCGAGTTGTCTCTATACTCTCACCTCTAAGCCTACTTCAACTTCACCTCCTCTCTGAGGTCCACTCTAGCCAGTACCCTCATTCAAATCCCAGCCAGCCTCTAAGCTCCTGATGCCTCCTCCTCTCCCCCAGTATTATACCTTCCTAATACATCAGGGCAAATAATAAGCCAGGCGTGGTGGTACACGCCTTTAATCCCAGCACTTGGGAAGCAGAGGCAGGCGGATCTTTGTGAGTTCAAGGCCAGCCTGATCTACATAGTTCCAGGCCAGCTGGGGCTATAAGGAGATCCTGTTTCAAAAAGACAAAAATAAATAAATAATAAATAAATAAATAATAAAGTCAGGCGTAGTCATGCACTCCTGTAAATCCCAGCACTGGGGAGGTGGAGGCAGGAGGATCAGTTCAAGACCAGCCTGGTCTATGTCAGACCTTGTCTCAAAAAAAGAAAATCTCAGGGCTAAAGAGATAGCTCAGAGGTTAGGAGCACTGGCTGCTCTTGCAGAGGACCCAGGTTCAGTTCCCAGCACCCATATGACAGCTCTCAACCATATGTAATTCCAGTTCCAGGGGATCTGACTCCCTTTTCTGGCCTCCAAGGTCACGAGGCATATACATGGAACATTTATATTCAGGCAAAACACTCATACACATTTTTTTAAAGAAAAGAAAACCTTATTTTTAATTTTTTACCCTGACTATACATTGAAAATGGTAATCATGCCGGGTATGGTGGCACATGCCTTTACGCCCAGCCCTTGGGAGGCAGAGGCAGGTGGATCTCTGTATGAGGCCAGCCTTGTCTACATAGCAAGTTCCAGGCCAGCTGGGGCTACAGAGAGACCATGTCTCAAAAAGACCAAAAAAAAAAAAAAAGAAGAAAAAGAAAAGAAAATGGTAATCATTTAGGCAGATAGAGATAAATAAGTCACATTATTAAAATTTGATTTACCTGGCTCTATTTTTTTTGAGGCTACTAGAAAAGTCAAAAATATACACATGACTAACAACATGGTATTTTCTTCCTCTTTTTTTTTTTTTCTTTTGAGACAAGGTTTCACCATAGAGTCCAAGCTGTACTTGAACATAGAACCCTCCTACCTCAACCCTCCAGGTAGTAGTAGAACAGGCATGCACCACCACATCTGCCTCACACAGTATTTCTATTTGATAGGGCTGTTGTAAACAGGGCTCATTTTCCTGTCTGTTGTTTGCTGTCTGCCTCCCTACATCAGAATCTTCCCAGCTGTATCCCCAGGAACTTACCAGCTGGTGTTTGACAAAGCATCCTTGTCAGATGAGAGAATGGGTGAATGAGATAGACCTGCCAGGGGCCCCAGACAGAGCACACAGCCCCCAGTCCTTCCCCAGGCCCCACTCACCCTCTCGACTGGCATCTGTTTCATGTTCCGGGAGTGCTTCAACGGAGCCAACCCACTCCACCCCGGACCCTGGGGATCAGATGGCAGAGACTGTGCCAGAGGGCCAGGCAGAGGTAGACAGGGCACATAGGACACAGAAGACTGAAAGACACCCTCCCCAAAGGTGCTGGACCCACTGGGTGATGGGAGCTCATGGGCAGGGACCTAGTCCCTCACCTTTGCCATGTGTGCTCGGTGCCCCCAGAGGGCCCGGTCTGCGCTGTCGGAACCGCTGCCGTGGGGTATCTCCCGGACTGAACGATTCAGAGCTTCGTCCCCCAGGAAACCGTGAGCTGAGTTTCCGCCGCTGCCCACCTGCCAGGGTCTCATCTCGCAGGCAGAGAGAGCTTTGGGCTCGGCGCATGGGTGCTGGTGGCGGGGACCCTGTGAGAGGCACATGCAGGGGGGTAGGGGTCAGCAAAGTACAGGGAAGGACCAGCTGAGCAGGGGCCCATGGGTGAAGCTACACAGGACAGAGAGAGGTGGTCAGTGCGGCAGAGAAGGGACCTGGTAGTCGAATGTTGCCCCTGGAAGCTGGGGTTTGTGTTGGCTCCACATTAGCTTACTGTACATGTAGCCTTGAGCAAGGTACCTTCCCTGGGCTTCTGCTTCCTTCTATACCATCAAAGGTACATGACCTTTCTCTAGAGTGCCCTGCTGTTCTAAGGTCTTAGGCACAGCTGTGGATGGGGTAGAACTGTGTGGGTGGCAGAGAGAGGTGCCATTGAGAGAGACCCTACAGGACTGGGGCAGAAGGCTGCTGAAAGCATAGGGCAGGTGGGAGCAGATGGCAGGGAAGGTGGGGGTGGGGCGAGCCAGACAACACAATGGGAGACACTGGACAGGATGGGCTAGGGCCCTCCTGGGCACCAGACCCTCAGACCCACCTGTCCCATCCGCCTCCCTGCCCTCCGGGAGCTCCGTCTCCAGGGGGCCCCCCAGGCTCTCCATGCTGCCAGCCCCATCGGCCCCCAGGCGTGGCCCCCCATGGAGGGCCCCCTCCCTCCGGGGCCGAATCAGCCTCTTCACCTTGTCTGCCAGCCAGCTGCCCTTCCTGGGGGCAAGAGGGCATAAAATGGGGTAAGGAAACAGGGAAAGGAGGGAGGGAGGGAAGGAAAGGAAATTGTGTCAAGGACTGAAAGGGCCAGGTCAACCTGCACTGGGATGGTGCACCCACGCCTGGCCATTGCGGGGAGCTGGGAGTCAAAGGGTAGGTAGGGCAGGGCAGAGGGTAGCAGGATCCCGCTCCCGTAAGGTGGAGGCCTCACTTGGTGCGGGGCAGGGGCCCAGGCTCCAGCACACGGTACTGGTCCATGATTTTCTCCACCAACTTCTGCTTCTCTCTGCGCAAGGCGTTAAGCTGGTCCCTGTCAGGAGGAGGGGGAGGGGAGGAGTGGGCAGGAAGCCTGGCAGAGCCGTGGTGAAAGCAGGAGCAGCTTAGGGCAGTCATGTTCCAGATGAGCTACCTCAAGCCTAGGACCTTTCCTGTAGCCTCTCCCTAGATCCTCCCTGAAAGACTACAGGGCATGGCCCTGCCCCTCAGGGCCTACTCACAGGTACTCCCGTTGCTCCCTGTGCAGGTGGTCTCGGCTCTCCAGGCTGCGCTCCAATAGCTCCCTGTTCTCCCGGCTCAGGGCCTGCACCTCGGCCAGCAGCTGGCGGTTCTCCTCCTCCTGGGCACTGCGAAGCTGGGTCAGCAGCTGTGTGCAACAGCAAAAGCAGAGTGAACCTGGCTCATACCTGGCGCAGCCTACCTTGGCCACCTCAGCCACTCCAAACTGCCCCACACTATGCCACACCTCACACTGTGTGGTCAGACGACAGGCACTCAGGTCCAGCTGCTGATTGGACTCACGCAGCTGCTGGCTTTGCATCTCCAGTTGCGCCCGCTCCAGCTCCAGTCGTGCCAGGCGGCCCCGTAGCTCCCCACGTTCACCTTGCAGCTCTCCTCGCTCCCGAGACAACTCGGCCAACAGCATCTGAGCTCTTTGGAGGAAGAGAGGACTGCTCTCCAAAAGCCACCCTCCAGTGGCTGGAGAGGTGGCTTAGTGGTTAAGAGCACTAGCTGCTCTGGCAGAGGACCCTGGTTCAGGTCCCAGCACCCACATGGCAGCCAGTAACCATCCTAAATCCAGTTCCAGGGGATCCAATCCCCTCTTCTAGTCTCCACAAGCACTGCAAAGCATGGATGCAATTACATGCAAGGAAAACACTCATACACGTAAAATAAAAATAAACAACATTTTTTTAAAACATGCAAGAGTCGGGAATCACACGCACAGAAAGAAGGTAAAGCAGGGTGCACAGGTCAGTGTCAGTGCACCCAGCCCCACTTCATAGATGGGAACACTGAGGGAGCATATCAGGCAGGATGGCTGGTACCTCTCATGTTCATTCTGAAGTCTCCGCAGCTCCTCCTCCAGCCCCCGCTGTCTATGCCCGTCCTGCACCAGGCGCTCGCGCTCTGCCAGTAGGGCCGCCTCTTGTGCTTCAACGCTGGCCCGCTGGGCCTGTAGCTGCTCATGTCTAAACAAACAAGGGAGAGGACCAGAGGATGCAGGGGCCTGGGGCCACAGCAAATAGGCCCTGCACTGTGGGGATCTGGGGGTCTGACACCTCCCAAGCATATGGTCCCCCTCAGGCAAAGCCCCAGAGCAGAATGTCATGCCAAGTCTCACCATTCCCAGTCCCGAAGTCAGGTAGCCCAGTTCCCCCAAGAGATTACAGCAACAGCAGGATGGATATGCCATTTCCCACTGAGTCAGACCTGCTGAGGGAGCCTGCCTCGGGCAGGTGGGCACGCCAGGGAGAAGAGTAGGGCCTTTGGGGAACCTCACCGGCCCTGTAGCTCACGGTGGGCCAGCTCCAGTGCACGCATGTTGGCCTTAAGATCTCGGTGCCTCACCAGCAGTCCCTCCAACTCAGTCTCCTGCCGCCGCTGCAGCTGAACCAGAGCTTCGTGGTCTCGAAGCAGAGCCTGCTGCTGCCCACGGGTCTCCTCCTGGGCCCTCCGAGCAGCCCGGACCTCCTCTTCCAGCACCCCTAACTTCCTATGCAACTCCTGGCCCTGCATCTCCATCAAAGACTTTTCAGCCTAAGGCAAGCAGACAGGCAGGACCTCTAGGTTGGGGGCCCCAGCCTAGAAGGAGTAAAGGGCAGGGCCTGAGAGCAGAGGGCAGAGGGCAGAACAAGCTGTGGAGGAATCAGAGCAGAGGCAGCAGAGAGGCATCCAGGAAGGTGGAAGGTACCAGGCCATGCTGGGGAGAGCAAGAGGCCTGGGACAGGGATGGGACAGATGAACTAGAGGACAAGGGTTAGAAGAGAGGGCTGATGGTGAGATGATGGGGATGGGGGAGATGGGTGCAAGGCAGGGGCAGGGACAAAGAGGGCACAATTGGGATGGTTGGGGTCAGAGGGCAAGCATTCTAAGAAACAGGGGTGGGGCAGGTGGCTGGAAAGGAAAAGTCATAAATTTGATAGCCAGTGAACAGGGGACAAGGACCTCCCAGGGAACCACCCACCTGCAGGCGGCTGCTGTGTTCCTGTGCCTGTTGACTCTGCAGCAGCAGCTCCTGTGCCCGGCCCTGCAGGCTCCCCAACTGCCCCTCCAGGTGCTGCAGCTGTTCCTGCAGAGCTGCCTTCTCGGCCACCAGTGTGGCATTCTGCCAAAAAGTGGGGTTAACAGTGGCTAGGCCGCTAGCCCACCCAGCCCCCCAGCCCCCAGCACAACCACGTTCCACTCACATTTCGCTCCACCTGGATGAGCCGACCATTCTGGGTCTCCAAGGTCTTAGGCTCAGCTTGTACCTCAGGCCTCAGCCCCAAAGGGCACTGGCGAAGCTGCAGGGACAGGGATGGGGGAAGTCACATGGACCTCAAGCACACAGGACAGTGGTGGAGCTGGGAACAAAAGAGGCAGAGCAGCCACCCAAGCAAGGGGAAGAGGGGAAGCAAGGCCTGACTCCCAACATAGTGCTCCCTCCAACAGGCCCCACAGGGGAGGGAGAGAGGTGAGCAGCTAGCCACAAATCCAGACGCTGATTGTTTACCCCCAGGCTGGGGTGAGGTGCTGGCACCTCAGTTCCCAGGGCAGCTTTACCTGGACCAGCTCCTCCTCCAGCTGTAGGGCCCGGGTCTTGAGTTCCATCAATGCCTCCTCCTTGCTGGTCACTGCTGCCTGTAGCTCAGCTTCCAGCCGCTGCTCCAAACCCCGGTACCTGCCAGGAGAAGCCTTGGCACCCAACCCCTAACTGTCTTGCCCTTCCCTGCCCCAGGGCACCACACCTACCTTTGGTGCTGGCTCTCCTGTTCTCGAAGGAACTCCTGGCGTTCCAAGGCTGTCTGTTCCAGCTCTTTCTGCAGATGCTCCAGTCGGGCCCCTAGCTCCTGGCCCCGAACCACAGCCTTCTCTAGATCCTGAGGGCAGGCAGGGCAGGGGTAGAGATGAGGGACAATTCTCTGCCCCAGAGGAGAACTAGAGATAGGCTTGAGAAGGGGTCATCTGGATTTCTGACTTGCTCTGCCACCCTGAGCAAATGTCTTTAACCCTCTGAGTCTCCACATTCTCACCTAGGCAGCCTCAGGAGGCTAGGCAGGAGGATGGCTGAAAATTTAAGGCCAACCTGAGCTACATAATGAGTTCCAGACTCAAAGTGAGACAATGTCCAAAAGGGGGGTGGGTGGCTTGGTGGCCTTTCAAGAGGTCCATGAAAGAGCTGGCTGGGTTCCTCAACCTGGTAGTGTGTGAGAGCAGGCCCTGGGCAAGGAGTCAGAGATGTACCTCTTTGAGCCCATAGTTTCGCATGTTCCCAGAAGGGTGTCAAGCCCTGTGAGCTGCCACACCTTCCGTGTGAGGCCAGTAGGGGCTCAGTGCAGATAGGCCTGCAGTAGCCCCCCTAACCACCACAGAGGGGTGACTCTGGAGAACAGCTCAGCATAGGATCTTGGAGGTGTCAGGCCTACACTTCCAGGGGAGGGCTGGAGAAGTCTGCCCTGAGCCTATGGCCCTTGGCAGTTGGGTTGTCCCATTTCAGGGTAGGGGTAGAGGCCCATTGGCCTGTGGGCTCTAAGGGGAGGTAGGCCAAACCATTCTAACTCATGGGGGCCCTGAATGAAAGAAGATGGAGGAAGGTGACACTTCCCAGCTACTGGCCACATCCTGCCTCTGAAAACCAAGACCACCACTGAACCATCATCCTGGGTAACAACCCTCCCCATCTTGCCTTGGATACTGCTTCTCCACACCTGTGACAGGGGCCTCTAGTTGAAAAACTACAATTCCCACAAGGCACTGCTGCCACCCCCACCATTAGGGTCTTGGCACTGCTGTGGCTGAAAGAGCAGTAGTGCAGATGAAGCCAGCTGCCTGGAGCCTTCCCTTGCCCACTGTTGGCCTTGGCCACAGCCCTCCCAAGTGGCCTTCCACCAGCCTGGGAGGCCTACATGTCCTCTTAAACAACCTGGAACTCAGTCCCTGTCCTGACAGCCAATACCATCACTACCATACCTGGCAGGTAGTGCCAGGAACAGCTCCAACCTAGAAATCCCCCAAATCCCTTGTACCCTCAGCTTCTCCCACTCCCTGGATCCTCAGAGCCTATTCTCCCACTCCACCCTTACCTTCACTGCCCACCTGCAGCCACTCCTTCAGAGAAAGCAAGTGTACTGGGAGCCAGGTGTACCCCAACCTCTCTCCTCGTTTATCTTTTTTTTTTTTAAATAGGGTCTCACTATATAGCCCTGTCACTATATAGACCAGGCTGGTCTCAAACTCATAGATGTGCCTGCCTCTGCCTCCCAAGTGCAGGGATTAAAGGCATATGCCACCATGCCTAGCCCCCCTTTTTGGTACTTTTTAGGCCTTGCTATGTAGCCCAGGCTGGCCTCTAACTCTCATCCTCCTGTCTCAGTCTCCCACATGCTGGGATTTCAGGTATGCGCCACCACACCAGGTATGTGGACAGTTTTTATTTTGGTTTTGCAGGTGAGGAAATCGAGACTCAGAGAGGTGAAGTAACTGTTCCAAGCCACACAGCTGAAAGCAGCAGGGTCTGAGACATAATGCAGTTTTTTGGCTTGGTAGATCTCTGGGTCCCACCATACAGAGTGGATCCCAAAGAGACCCTCTCCTCACCAGCTCACCCACATTAGTTCTCACATTCAACACTTTCACCGCGCCTGCCCCTTCCCTACACCTGTCCATATAATGCCTAACCCGGGTTAACCCAGCTGTGTCCCCAATCCTCACCACTAGGAGGTGGAGAAGGACATAAGCAAGGTGCTCTTTCTGAGGCCTGTCTGCGCCCTGGGATAGACGGAAACTGGAAACTGCTCACACTGGAGCACCCAGTTCCCAGCCCTAGGATCCACAGCTCACAGCCTCCCCACCGTCCCATAGTGTCCTCTGCATCACTTTAGATGCCTTGCAATGCAGACTTGACTACTTTGCCTCCAGTGGCACTGTTTGCTCACAAGAAAAGCCCCAGCTTCTCCCTCCACTTGGAAGTTTCCACCCTGCCCATCAGGAACCCTGCTTAATTCATCCTCAGCCTCACCTCTCCCTGCCCAGCTCACACTCCTCCAACTCATGCCTGGACCTGCTTTTCTCCCCCTCCTCCAGGAAGTCTTCAAACAGGAGTGTAGGGCGCTATCTGGACCCATGGTTCCCTGTAGCACCCTGTCTCCATCCTATCTGTGAATATGCAGGTGGCTCCTGCCTGGTTACCACTGTGCCCACAGCCTGGTTACAGGGCCTGGATCCACAAAACGTGTGAATGAATGAATGTGTTTCCAGACATTCTCTCCCTTCCGACACTTGACCCCTGGGCCCCGGCCAGCCGCACCTGGAATGGGTACCACTGCCACTGTTCTCTTACAGCCCCCCAGCCCATCAAGGTGACCTTCTTCAAATCTAGCCCCACATGGGTCTGTCTACATCCTGAGATAGCTTTCCACACCTGGGGATGGAGTAGCAACCCCTTCAAAGCTGGTCACAGCCCCAACTCCTCCTGGGTCCCTCAACATCTACTGAAAATCTTGGACACATCTCTCCTGAAGTCCCCTGCACACAGGCATTTTCATTGTCTCCTGGGGGCCTCTCTTTGTACTCTGTCCTCAGTAACTTTTTTTTCCTCAGACCCCTAGGGTCTCATGTGGCCCAGGCTGGCCTTCAACTCATTATATATCTGAGGATAGCCTTGAACTTCTGATCCTCCCACCTCCACATCCTAACTGCAAAGATTACAAGCATACACCACCATGCCTGGTTTATGCAGTGCTTGGGATGGAACCCAGTGCTTTCTGAATGCTAGATAGGCACGCTCCAGAATTACTTGCCCACCAGCCCCTGAGTAACCACTGTGTGGTCACTTGGCCTCGCAAAAAACAGACTCTCTCCACAGTGATCCTGGCCAGTCAACAGACCGTCAAAGCAGGAAGGCTCAACTTTTACAGGAGGAGGGGACCAGGGTGAAAGGGCAGAGATTACCACAGCCAGAGTACAGGACTGATCATAGGATGAACAAGGTGAGTCCCTCCCTCCTGCAGCCCACCCCATCAGAAGCAGCGGCCATCAGCTGTGTTCCACAACAGAGGCTGCCAGGCTTTCCATCCCCTGCGCCAGCTCAGTGCCACTGATGGAATCCACATCCCACATCCCAACATCTAGCCTGGATCTGTTTCCCAGCCCCACATACCTCCCTGAGAGCTTGCTTCTCCAAGTGCTCCCTCTCAGCCTCCTCCAGGTGGCAGCGGACCTCACCCTCCAGCGCCAACACCCGCTGCTCAGCAGCCTCTGCCTGGGCCCGCAGCTTGGGCCCCTCACGCTCCCACTGCCTCCGTTCACGACCCGCTACAGCCAGTGCCTCTGCCAGTGCCTCCCGCTCTCTAGATGCAGCCTGCAGCTCCTGGGCAGCTGTGTCTACTGCCTCCCTCAGCCGGGCATGCTCCAGGGCCTGGGCCTCTGCCTCTTGGTGAGCCTCAGCTTCTGCTCTCCTTGCTTGGGCCAACTCCTCTGAGAGGCGGGCTACCTCTGCATCCCGGGCCTCCAGCCTTCGGGCTTGGGCTTCCAGCTCAGCCCCAAGGACCACCATCTCTCTCCTTTGTCGCGCTACCTCCTCTCTGAGGGTCTGATCCTCTAGGACAACACTGGCTAGTGTCTCCCCTGATACCGGTCTTTCCTGGGCCTGGGCATCAAGAGCCCCTTCTGATGTCTGCTGTGGTTTCTGTGGAACCAGTTCACTGGTTATCCCCTCCAGCCTCTGTTCAGCCTCTGTCTGTTGCTTGGACAAGTCTAGCCCCTGGCCTGGGCTCTCTCCGTCCAGTGGCATGTGCCCAAGGCTCTCCTGTCTCAGGAACTGGGCTTTGGGCACCAATTCCTCTTGGGGAGTCTCCTTGTCCTCAGTCTTTCCTAGCAATTCCTGCACCTCAGTGGGGGTCTGAAGAGAGATTCTGTTCCTGGGCTTCTCCAGGGGCACACGCATCTCCACGGTAGGGTCTAGCTCTTGGGGGTTCAGGTCTAAGGTCTGGGGGTCCACAGCAGCCATCTTAAGGGGTCTCTTCATCACTTCTGGGTGTGAAGTAGATGCCTGGGAACACTTAGATGACCGTGTGATGTCAGGGTCTGATGCTGCGGGAGCCAGGTCCAAGGTCTCAGGACCTTCACCTCCCACCTGGCAAGCCGAACTTTGGGGGATGTGATCTGAGGCTGGAGGAGTTCCGGAAGCCCCATTAAGCACAAGGAACATGGAGTCCGTGCTCTGCTCCTCCAGAAGAGGGTGCTGAGGACATAAGAAAGGGGTAGTCAGGCAGGAAGGTCACCAGGAGGGACCAGTGAGGATGAGGATGGTGCGGGGACCCACCTGGCCGCCCAGCTGCCCCTGCAGCATCTTCAGCAGGCCTCGAAGCTCCTGATTCTCCCGTTCCACAGTCCGAAGCCGCCCAGCTTCAGCCTCCCTCACCTCATCCTGCAGGGATGGTGCTGCTCCCAACAGGGGGGCTGAGGGTGTAGCCAAGTCAGTACCTACCTTGATCCTAAGTACGACACCCCTCAGAGACTTGGGAAGACAATGAAGACAAGAACCCTGGCCACTACAGAAGACTTCCTCCACCCCAGACCCTCAGCCCCACCCTAGAGCCCACTCACCCTCTCCAGGGGAGCCTGGGGGTGGCTCCAGGCTCCCTCGAAGCTCCAGTTCCAACTCCACATTCTCCTCCACAAGCTGATCCAACTGATGCCTCAGAGAGTCCAGCTCCTGGAGGATAGAGGGGTGGATCTGACCAGCCCTCTCCACGAGACCCAGGCCTGAGCGTTCCTACAGGCTATAGGAATCACTTAGGGGAGCCTAGAGTATCATTGACATCATCAGGGACTGGGGGACAGTGGATAGATGGACAGATTAACCTAGCTCACCGCATGGGCCTCGCCCAGCCGGGTGCGCAGCAGCAGGTTCTCGCGCTGGGTCTCGTGCAGCCGGGCGGAGCGCTCTCGGGCAGCCTCCAGCTGCTCTTCCAACAGGGCCTTCGAGGCCTCTAGGGTCCCAGAAAGCACTCGCTCCTCCTGGAAATAAAGCCAGAGAATCTGGTGAGATGTAACCCCTATTTGCTCCAGGGCCTGGGGGTGGGATTTCAGATTCTTCCCCTGGGATGCCACCAACCCTGCCTCCTCACCCCACCTCTCCTCTCCATCTGCCCCTCTCTCTGGGAGGAGGGATGTCTCCCCAAGCTCCTGGCCCCACCCTCCATCCAGGCCCCACCCTTTCCCCTAGGAACCGTCTTCCAAGGCCACATCGCTCCAGACCACACTCATCAGTCCCCCCACTTGCTAGGGGCTCCCTGCAGACTCGCTACTTGGACTCTTGGCTCCACTCTTCTCTCCAGGACCTACCCTTTTATAGACCCCCTCCTCTCCCTTCCATCCGCCCACCCTCAAGGATCTATCTCAGGCCTAATGTGCTGCATCCTCTCCCATCTGCCCCCCACCACACTCTTCCCCCACACACGTGCCCCAAACTGGCCCCACTCTTCTCCTGGCCCGCCCCCTCCGGCATGCTCCGCCTGCAGACCGCGCCCCCATCAGGCTCCGCCCCAGGCGCCAGCGTCCCTCCTCACCTCCAGCTGGCGCTGGAAGACCTCTGCCGCCTGCAGCCTCTCACGACAGCGCCGCATCTCCTCTTGCAGGCGTGGCAGGCGGCCGGCTCGCTCGCGCAGCGCGTCCGCCTCCTCTCGGTAGAGCTCGGCGCGCTTGGCTTGTCCCGACAGCGCCTGGGCCTGAGTCAGATGTTGTTTGGAGCTGGGACCAGCCAGCCGCGGGGCACAGGGACGCGGGACGGGAAGGGGCAAATGGCACTGGGGTGGATCGAGGCAATGGTGGGGACTTTGGATCTCACCTCCTGGCGGAGCCTTCGAATTTCAGCCTCCAAGCCCTGCACCTCAGCCTGCGAGTCCAGCAGCAGCTCGGCCTTCTCCTCCCTGGAGGGATGGAGCGATGGAGGATGTCTGCAACTCAGTACCATCCTCACCAGGGCTGGGGACCCATCCAGGCCTCGTCTGCCCCTTCCCCAGCCTGCGGACACTCACACCTCCTGCCGCAGGCGTCGCAGCTGGGCCTTGGCATTGGCCAGCTGCAAAGCCAGGTGGTGCGAGGGACCCTCCGCAGGAGCCTTGGTGGGAGCTTCGGGTGGCTGCAGGCGGGCGGGCTCCCGCTCCAGCAGCAGTTCAACCAGACGCTTGAGTAGGGGAAGGTCAGAGGTCAAGGGTCAGAAGGAGACATCCCGTGCCTCCCCACATTAGGCCTGCAGTCTCCTGCACAAGATGATTCTGAGTTGCAACCACCCCCGACCCACACCTGGACCCCAAACCACGTCTCGGTTCTATCTATGTCCCTGCAGCCAGCTACCTGTGCCCCCAGGTCACGCTCCCGGACCAGCCTGGACAGCGTCCCCATCAGGCCCCGGAACTGCATCTCCAGCTCCAAAGTCCCCAGCTCTCCACATTCTGGTCCAGACAGAGCCAGCACCACCCCTGCGCCAGGCTGAGTCACCTGGGGGCACATGGAGAACAAATCAGAAGAAGGGAGAGTGATGAGTGGCCAGGGTATCCCCAGTGGTGGTGCCACTCACACCAGTACCTCCTGGATCGCAGCAGCCAGCTCGCTCTGGATGTCCAGGCTGAGGCCCTGGATGTGGCGGATGAAGAGTTCCCGGTGCTCACACTGTTAGGAGACAGGAGACCCAGGGGCTGACACCGGGTCTCCCTCCTCCCTGTCAAAGCTCCACCCTCTCCTCCCTTCCCCCTCCTCACCTGCACCGAAGCCCCCAAAAGCAGCCGAAGGATACCTTCCAGTTCATCCACTGCCTCCTCTGCTGGGCAGACACCACAAGGGGTTAAGCAGGCCCCAAGGGCAGGGGCAGAGGCAGGAGGTGGGTAGGGAACAGTACCTGAGAAGGGATCAAACCCCAACGTCTGGAGGTCTGGGGGTGAGGACAGGATCAGCAGCTGCAGTTCCTCCTAGAGGGGCGCAGGGATAGGAAAGGTGGCATTAGGCATGATGGCACACACCTTTAGCCCTAGCACTCTGTGAATTTGAGGCCAGCTTGGGCTACATAAGTTCTAAGCCAGCCAGGACCACATAAGACCCCATCTTTAAAAAAAAAAAGAAAAAAGAGCCACTCCTGCAAGGGTCTCCCAGGCTCCCCTTCCCAGTAGCTCCAACCCCCCATCACCTGATAGAAGTCCCTCAGTCGGCCCCACAGGTGATTCAGGTTCCACACTCTCCAGGCTGCTGGGCCATCAAGGCCCCTGACCACCCGAAGACCCCCTCTGGAACTGGGGGCACTGTGGTCACAGGAGGACATGGATGAGAGATGGGCTTGAGGATCAGCTTCCCTTAGAGCAGACCCTGCCTTCTACCCACAGGCTCCTCCCACCATCTCACAGCCCACCCCCTCCCCTCAGACTGGTCCTTGATGTCACTTACATGATGCCCAGCACGCGAAGGAGTAAGGCCCCATTGCTCAAACGCAGGAATCTCTTCTCTAGGCCAAGAGATCCCTCTTCCTCCTCCTCCTTCCCAGCAGACTCCTCTGCCTCCCCCACCAGCCCAGCCAGTCCCAGGGCCTGTGGGCACAGACAAGAGTCAGCTGAACAGGTGGGAACTTTCCCCTGCCAGTGAATGATTCCTGAACAAAATCCCTTGAATATTTTTGGTTCCAGATGCAAGACCCCCGCTTCCCCCTCCCTCTCCAGCAGCTGGACTCCACACATATACACAGCCACCCCTCCCCCAATCCTCAGCCTGCCCTGACACTTCCCTGCTCAGCCAGCCCATCTGCCCCCTCACCCAGGTGGCCAGGCTCCCACTCAGGAAGTCTCTGAGCCTGGTCCCCTTGGCCCTCTCCATGCTGGGGGTCAGGGTGTTGTCCAGGTCCTGCTGTGGCAGCTACACCTGCCCTGAGAGGAAGAGGAAGTCCCCAGCTGGGGGATCCTGGGGCCCAGCCACAGACACCCTATGCAGCTTCCTCCTTCCGGTTACTGGGTTACTGCGGGCCACTCACCTCCAGTCCTGCCTCAGTCCCTTGCTGTCGCATCCTCCCTGGGTCTCAGGCAAGGCTGACTGGGAAGTTGGAGGTTACTTGAGGTGAGGCCTGCAGGGTTCCTGGTTCCATGGGCAATGGTGGGGAGTCCTTCCCTCACTGGGCATGAGAGGGTGATCTCAGCCTGGCGATCTCAGCCTGGCACCCAGAGGTTACTAAAGGATCCCTGACCATGCACGGTGAAGTCTGCCCCCCACACACACATGCACCTTCTGATAGGCTCAGATTCATTTGTTGGTGCCTCCTCACAGCAAGCGGCCTCAAACCTTGTTGCCTGCTCCAGCCAGCCTCCTCTGAACCCCAGGAGGCGTCCACCCTCCGACCCAGCCCACTTCATACTCTATAAACACCTGCACTGAGAAATGGCTGTGAAGTACTCACCTCAAAAGGCATCCTCAATTTCCCATCTGTAAACACCTCGAAGGGAGACAACACAAGGCCAGGGCCAACAGCCCTATGTCTAGATGTGACTCAGTAGAGAGCCTGCCTAGCATGCACAAGGCCTTGTGTTCAATCCCCAGCACCTCGCAAACCCAGCACTTGGGAGGTAGAGGCTGGAGGATCAGGAGTTTAGGGCCTGGGATACCTACAGTGAGTTCAGGCCAGCTAGGCCAACTTAGTGAGACTCGGTCTCAAAAAAATAAAAAATAAATTACACAGTCTAACACTGCAGGCCTACTAGGTGCTTTGATGGGGCAGTCAGGGACGGTCTCCCAGAAAGGCAGGAGATGAGCATTGCCTGACATAACTGGGCACAGCTGAGAAGGAGGGGTACCCAAGAGTTTTCAGACAGGAACAGAATGCATGAGGGCTCTGAGGCAGATAGAGGCACAGCCAGTGAGCAGATTCCTGTTTTATTTCTTCCAAGATGCCTTGTCACAGTTAACATCTCTGAAGTCAGGTGACATGTTTCAGTTGCCCTCCAGCTGACTTCTGTCCTCTGAACCCTCAGCCCAAATGGTGGGAGCACCCCAGGGAGGAGACCAGGCTGGTATGAGACACTCCCCAAACCCCATCAGAAAAGTCCTGCTGTGTGTGACTCCAAGCTGACAGTGGAGCCTGTTTGAAGGAGTGGAAGAACTGATCTTTGGAGCCCAGAGGAGGAGGTGGCCATGAAACAGACATAAGGACTCACACAGGAAGTGACTGGCTCCTTACAGAGGAGAGACACAACACACTGTAGCATGTGGGCACACAAATATAACAAAAAGAGTAAAATAGATGACTATAAATTATAGCATGTGTTTTGCTTTTTGTTGCTGTTTGGTTTGGTTTGGTTTTTTGGGGACAGGGTCTCCCTGGAACCCCAGCTGGCCTGGAACTTGCTATGTAGACCAGGCTAGCCTCAATCTCACAGAGATCCACCCACCTCTGACTCCTGAGTGCTGTGATTGTAGGCATGTGCCTGTCTATAGCATGGTTATAGGTACTTGACCCTTATTAACCTATTTTCTCTGGATTAGTCTGCAATAAAAACTATGGACCACTCATTTTAAAATTGCTATTATTTAATTTTTTTTTTTTTGCATACATAAGTGTTTGCTTGCACAGATGTGTACCACGGGAATGCAATGCCTACAGAGGCCAGAAGAGAGCATCGGATCCCCTGGAACTGGAGTTACAGATGGTTGTTAGCTGCCATGTGGGTGCTGGGAATGGAACCCAGGTCCTCTGCAAGAGCAGCCAGTGCTCTTGACCACTGAGCCGTCTCTCAGCCCTGGATTATCTCTCATTTTACAGAGAAAGAAACCAAAGTACAGCAAGGTTACAAAACTTGCTTAAGGTCACACGACTTTAAGTCAGTAATAGATCAGCTGAAGGAAGGCAGCAAGGCCACAATACAAACAGCAAGGGGCACAGTGGCCGGATGAGCTGAGGCGGACCAAGCAGCAGGAAAATATGCCTCACTGTGAAGAGAGAAGTGCATCCAGTTGTCAACCGCCTTGAAACACTGAGAAATGGATTTTCCATCCACTCAAGTAAAAGTGAGGAGTTTGGGAGCTGGAGAGCAGCACAAGGACCTGTTAAATGAGCCCCTGGGTCCTAGGCGTTAGCAGCGGTACTGTCCAGGGCTGCCAGCTTCAGCCCTCTCTGAACCTTACTCCCACTTGCCTCCTTCAACAACTCCAGTCTAGGAATTCCTGGGAGGGCCGCTGTGCCAGCTGAGCAAGTCCTCCAGGACCAGTCAGACATGGTGACTGGGGCTCACCTCCAGGGTGGCAGGGAGAGGGCCCTGCCTTGCTCAGTGCCTCTGAGTCACACCCTTCCTGGGGCCTCAGAGGCAGAGACCGTGTCCTGATTGCTCTCACATCCTTAATCTGGCCAAGCCTGGCTGCACTTCCATCTACCCTCAGGCTTGCTGAGTCAGGTGGAGGGAGTCTAGGGCACAGGGCGCCCCCTCCACTGACACTGACATCCCGGGATTCCCATGCGCAATTAGTCTCAGTTAGAGACTACAAGGGGTTCCTCTCTTCATAGCAAGTTCCAGGTCAGCCAGGGCTGTATAGTGAGACCCCATCTCGTAAGAAAAAAGTTAAGAAGCAGGGCTTAGCTGCACATGCCTATAACCAAAACTTAGAAAGCTGAGGAAGGATGACTACAAATTTGTGGCCTACTTGAATTACATAGTGACCTGTTGGAAAAAAAAAAAAATACTACCTTATACTTGCAATCCCAGAACTTTCTATGGCTGACTCAGGAGGCTCATCACAAGTTTGAGGTCAGCCTGGGCTATGTGGTAAGTTCCAGGCCAACCTGGGCTAGGGTATAAGACCCTGTCTCCCTTCTCCCACCAAAAAAGAGAGCCAAGCATGATGGCACATATCACCCAAGAGGCAGAGACAGGAGGATCTGGAGTTCAAGGCCAGCCTAGGCTACATGAGACCCTGTCTTTAAAAAAAAAGGAAATAAAAGTAACAAGACAACTGACTGAACTGTCTACCATCTGGCATACCTACCAACCCGGCTAGAAACAGCCACTGGTCCACTTCCTGCACCCTTCCTGAGGACACTAGTGAGCCTGTTGCAGCGAGAACAGCCTCACACAGCCCTGTAACTTCCTTGTTACTTCACAAAATGTTTTGCAATATTTTCTGTTTGTTTTTTTGCGACAGGGTCTCACAATGTAGGCCTGGCTGGCCTAGAACTTGCTATGTAGACCAGTTTGGCCTTGAACTAACAGAGATCCACCTGCTTCTGCCTCCCCAGTACTGGGATTAAAGGCATGTACCACCACACCTAGCCAAAAAGTCTTTTATTTATATGTACAATGTGTATGTGTATATATTCCTGTGAGTGAATAGGGGCCTAGACATGCAGTAGCGTGCCTGGGGAGGTCAGAGGGCAGCCTTGGGTCCTCACCTAATCCTTGTTTGAGACAGGGTCTCATCACTGCTGACGTGAGCCAAGGAAGGTGGTTCGTGAGCTTCCCTTGTCTCCTCACAAGAGCTCTGATTACAGATGCTCACACTACCCCATCCAGCTATTACATGGCTTCTGGGGATTCAAATTTAGGTCCTTGTGCTTGTGAGGCAAGTGCCTTATCTACTGAGCCATCTCCCCAGCCTAGCTTTGATCTCTTACGGACTGCACAGTAGTTGGTGTGTTGCTGTCCTGTCCCATTTGGTCTCCCTTTGATGGACAGTGGATATATTCACATCTTGGGCTTTTGCTACAGTGTCATGAGGACTGGCTTCTCAGAGGTGTTTTTGGGGCAGTTTCTTTTTTTAAAAAAAAAAATTTAATATTTATTATTTTTACATGTATGAGTGTATTGCCTGCGTGTGTATAAGTGCACCCATGTCGTGCAGTGTCTGAGGACATCAGAAGAGGGCATTGGATCCCCTAGAACTGGAGTTACAGACTGTTGTTAGCCTCCATGTGGGTGCTGGGACTTGAACCTGGGTCCTCTGCAAGAAGAGCCAGTGCTCTTAACCCCCAAGCCATCTCTCCAGCCCCCTCGAGCAGTTTCTTTTCAATTAATTTATCAGGGCTGGAGAGGTGGCTCGGAGGATAAGCACATGTACTGCTCTTGCAGAGAACTCAAATTCCATACCCAGCACCCATGTCAGGAGGCTCACAACCACCTATAAATCCAGCCTCAGGGAATCTGATGCCTCCGCAGCCCCCACACACATGTGCACACTCACATACAAAAACAAAAATAATTTATTTCTCCACCATGGCGGCTCATATCTGTAATCCCAGCATTTCGGAGGCTGAAACAGAAGAATGAAGAGTTTGAAGCCATCCTATCCCTATCTCAAAAAGAAAAAAAAAAAAAAATGGAGGTTGGAGAGATGGCTTAGGGGTTAAGAGCACTGGCTGGTTTGGTTCCCAGCACCCACATGGCAACTAACAATTGTCCCTAACTCCAGTTCCAGAGGATCCAATGCCCTCTTCTGCCTCCATGGGCATTGCATGCACAGGTGCACTTACATACATTCAAGCAAAACACTCATACACATAAAAAGTAAATAAATAACCAGGCATGGTGGTACACATCTTTAATCCCAGCACTCAGAAGACAGAGGTAGGAAGATCTCTGTGAGTTCGAGGCTAGCCTGGTCTACATAGTGAGTTCCAGGCCAGCTGGGGCTATAGGGAGACCCAGTCTCAAAAAAGACTGAAAAGAAAAAAATTAAAAACTGAAAATTAAAAAAAAAAACAAAAACAGCTGGTAAGATGGCTCTTCAGATAAAGGTAAAGGCCTCACAAACCTGAGTCCCATCCTGAGACCTACATGATGGAAGGAGAGATCCAACTCTCTTAAGCTGTCCTCCGACGTCCACACACTCTCCACAGCACCCTTGTTT